TATCCCATCTAAGAAATCTTTGCCTGTGTCAAGGTCACAAGAGACTTCTGTTTTCTAAAACTTTTACAAGTTTTATCTTTTATACTTAGGTATATCATCTGTTTTGAGCACACTCTTGTGTTTGTTGTTAAGCAGTGGTTAAGGTTTATTTTTTTCATATGAGTGTTCAGTTGTATGAGCACATGTAAGTCTGTTTCTGGATTCTGTTCTGTTGATTTGTATATGTACCTTTACACCAGTACCCACTCTGCACCATCTTGATTATTTAAGACTTGAAATCAAGTAGTAGGAGTCCAGATTGTTCTTCTTTTTCAACACTTATGGCTATTCTAAAGTCTTTGCATGTCCTTTGAACATTTTAGATTCAGTTTATTTTCTACAAGAGTCTTCTGGGATTTTGATTGGAATTACATTGATACTATATATCAAACTGGGATGTCTTTTTAAAAATTTTAAAAATATTTTCCTATTTGAGAGAGAGCTTGTATGCATGAGTGGCGGGGGAGGGGCAGTGGCATTGGGAGAGGGGGAGAGAGAATCTTAAGCAAGCTTCATGCCCAGCATGGAGCCCCATGTCGGGCTTGATCTCACAACCCTGAGATTGTGACCTGAGCCAAAATCAAGAGTCAGATGCTTAACTGATGGAGCCAGCTAGGACCCCCAAATTGGGACATCTTGAATCTTCTGAAAAAAATTTCCCACAACAATGTTTTATATATTTTTTTCTTTTGTTTTAAAGATTTTATTTATTTATTTGAGAACAAAAGTACGTGCTTGAGTGGGGGGCAGAGGAAGAGAGAGAAGCAGACTCCCTGCCAAGCAGGGCACCTGATGCAGGGCTTGATCCCAGGACCCTGGGATCATGACCTGAGCCAAAGGCAGATGTTTAACCTACTGAACCACCCAGGGGCCCTATTTTTTTTTTTTTCTTTTCTTTTTTTAAAGATTTTTTTATTTGAGAGAGAGATTATGTACACACATGCATGCGCATCAGGGGAGGGTCAAAGGGAGAAAATCTTCAAGCAGACTTCTTGCTGAGCGTGGAGCCCAACAAGGGGCTTGATCTCATGACCCATGAGATCATGACCTGAGCTGAAACCAAGAGTTGGATGCTTAATTAGCTGAGCCACTCAGGCACCATTTTATTTTCAATACAGGATCGTACACATTTTTTTAAAATGTCATAAAGTAGTTCATGGTATTTGATGCTATCATAAATGGCGTTTTTCAAATGTCATTTTCCAGTTATTTATTGCTGACATATACAAATAGAATTAATTATTGTATATTGATCTTGTATCCTGTGATTTTGCTGATTTTTACATATTAGTGTTTAGGATTATGTAGGTAGGATACAATCATGTTGAAATAAGAATGGTTTTATTTTTTCCTTTTCAATCTGCATGCCTTTTATTTCTTTTTTTTTTCCCTTGCTTTACTGAACTGGTTAGGATGTTCAGCACAATATTGAGTAGAAGTGGTTGACATTGTACACATCATTGTTTTTTTTCCTGATCCTAGGAGAAAAATCTCCAGTTTTTATTGGAGTTGTTTTATAGATGTTCATCATTAGTTTGAGGAAGTTCTCCTCTATTTGTAATTTGCTGAGAATTTTTATTCATGAATGGGAGTTGAATTTTTCACATACTTTTCCCATATCTATTGCAAGGATCATTTTTTTATCCTTTAATCTGTTAATGTGGTGAAATAAATACATCGACTCTTTTAAATAGTAAACCAACCTTTCATTCTTGGGCTAAACCCCACTTAGTCATTATGTATTTTCCTTTTTATATATTGCTGGATTCTATTTGGTGGTATTTTGTAAAGGATTTTTGTGTTTCTAGTTGTGAGAATTACTGGTTTATAGTTTTCTTGATTTGTCTTTGTCTGCTTTTGCTGTCAGTGTAATCCTGGCCATATAAAATGGGTTAGGAGGCATCCCCACCTCTTCTGTTTTCTGAAAGAGATTTTCTTTAAATGGTTCATAGAATTCTCCATTGAAAATTGGAGCTTTCTTTGTGGGAAGACTTTCAGTTAGGAATCTAATGTATTTAATAAATGTAGGACTCTTGATGTTATGTTTTCTTTGATATCTGTTTTGATAATAGTTAACATCTTTTAAGGAATTGGCCCATTTAATTTACAGCTTAAATTGTCAACTTGATTGGCATAATACATTCTTACTATACTTTAATTCTAGACTCTCTAGTGATGTTTTCTCTCTTTTTTTTCCTGGTATTGGCAAATTGTGGTTTCTCTCTAACTTTCTTTATTATCTACCCAGAGGTTTGTCAATTTCATGGATTTACCCCCCCCAAGAGAATCAACTTCTGTTTATTATTTTATTGATTTCACCTCTTTACTTTATTTCCTTCTTTTACTTTGTATACTTTTTCTAGCTTCTTACAGTAGAAGCTTAATTTATTTTAAGCCCTTTTGTTTACTGTTTATATCTTTTGTCCAGTTTTCTATTGTTTGCTTTACTGATTTTTTTTTTTTTTTATGTGCTTCTATATAGTGTAACCTTTTTACCCTTTTTCCTTTTAGATTTTGACTGGTAATTTTGTAGAAGTTTTTGTAATTTTGTAATTTTGTAGAAGGTTTTGTAGAAGTTTTTAAGAACTATGTAGTAACATTAGTCCTTTCATCTTCTATGTCACTTTTAGAAAATATTCCAGCAAAGCGAGGTTTTTTTAATTCACTTACATGTTTTTGTAATTATTTGTCTTATTTATTTATTTATTTTAAAAGATTTATTTATTTTAAAGAGAAAGAGCGTGAGCGTGTGCACGCAGGTTGGGGGAAGGGCTGAGGGAGGGAACCTTCAAGCAGATTCCTGGCTGAGTGTGGAGCCCATCGTTGCAGGGCTCAATACTCTCTACCCATGAGATCATGACCTGAGCTGAAACCAAGTGTCGGATGCTTAACCCACTGACCCACCCAGGCACCCTTTGTTTTATTTCTTAAGTCTTTTAATTCATTTTGGGGTATGGCATACCGTGAGGTGGAGAACAGAAGATATTTTTTTTTCTAAATTATCCAGTTTTTCTCAACATTCCTCATTGTATAATCTGTTTTCTTCTTAAATGGCATTGTTTTAATCTTTATTTTTTAGAAATTTCTAGCTGTTATTATGGGTATAAACTTGGTATATGAATGAATCATTTTGTAAAGTTTCAAAAAAATTAAATTCATGTAATAATTTAGAATCACATCTTTACAGTCATTTTTCCTGCCTAGAAACTGTTAATGACTTTCAATTTATTATTTAGGTGTATTTTATATTCCTAAGTAAAGCTTTATAGTTTTCTTATTAAAATATTACAGGTATATTCTTACATTTACTGTTATTTACTGATATTCTTTTTCTTTTTTTTTTTTTGTAAGATTTTATTTATTTGACAGAGAGAGACATAGCGAGAGTGAGCACACAAACAGGAGGAGTGGGAGAGGGAGAAGCAGGCTTCCCGCTTTGCAGGGAGCCTGATGCGAGACTCGATCCCAGGACCCTGGGATCATGACCTGGGCTGAACGCAGATGTGTAATGACTGAGCCACCCAGGCACCCCATTTTCTTTCTTTTATATCATGTTTATAGCAGACTATTTGCTAGTACATCCTTTAAATATTTGGTTTTCCTGAGGGTAGTCTTTGGGAAAAGATTTTTTTAGTGATGGTTTAGTATTCCTTCTGCTATCACAGAAAGTTTAAGTTAAAATAATGGGTGCTAGAAAGAAGGTTATTGGATTTCAACATAGGTGCTCTCAGGACTGAGTTTGTTATCCTTATTAATTTTCTTGAAAAAAATTTTTTTTAAGGTTTTATTTTTAAGTAATCTCTGCACCCAACATGGGGCTCAGACTTAAAACCCTGAGATCAAGAGTCACATGCTCTACTGACTAGGCCAGCCAGGTGCCCAAACTTTTTAACTTTCTAATTTAATCCTCATGTGGAAATTTCTATCTTCTCTTACTGTCTTTTTTCCTTCTTAAACCTCCATTTTTTGGCTCCTTTTTTTTTTTTTTTTTTTAAACCTCCCTACTCTTTTCTTTGTCTTATGTGTTTATATCTTCCATAGTAAGATTTTGTTAACATTTCAGGATTATGTGATTTAGGGGACAGTGTCATCTTCATTGTTTTTCTGTTGTATGGAATGTTACGTATGTGTTGAATGTAAATATTCCCTTATGTATATCCTATATATAATATATATTCCCTTATATATATTCTATAATGTAGAATTATAAAATTGGATATTTTGAACTAATTTATGTGTTTGGTATAATGTTTTCCAATAATGGAGGGTTTGGTGCTCTCAAAATAATTCCATTCAATTATAAGTAATTGTTACATTTATACAATATACATTCACAAAAAGAATGCTAACTGCACTTTGTTATGGGGAGAAATGATTCCACTAAATGTTAATAATCATTTCGAGAATTCCCTCCCCTCCGGTATTTTAAACATTCTCAACTGTTTTTATGACACTATTTATTTTTCCCTAGTTTCATTGAAGTATAATTTATATGGATTAAAATTCACCTATTTTTAGTGTGTAGTTTGAATTTGGGTAGTTCTATATAGTCATGTAACTACCACCACAATCAAGATACAGAAGTTTTATCATTCTGAAAAGTTTCTTTGTGCCCCTTTGAATATAAGCAGGGGACCTTTGGCTTGAAGCAGCCACCTCAGTATTTTTTTTTTTTTTAAATTGTTGCTGATTTTTAGTATTGACAAGAGTTGTGTAACCTTCACCACAGTCCTAGAACATTTCCATCACCCCAGAAAGAAATAGTTGTCTGTTTAAAGTCACTCCCTCTTTCCACTTTTAGCCTTAGCAATCGCTAGTCTGCCTTGTGTCTGTAGATTTACCTTTTCTGGCAAATACAAGCATACAATATGTTTTATTTTTCTGTGTCTGGCTTCTTTCATTGGACATAATCATTATCAACTTCTGAGCATTTTTATGAAATGAAATTTTTTTTAAAACAGGGTATGACTCTACTAATGATGGGGTCAGCAGATGCTCTTCCTGAGGAACCCTCAGCTAAAACTGTCTTTGTAGAAGACATGACAGAAGAACAGTTAGCATCTGCGGTAAGATATACCACATTTTGTATAAAGATGATTGCTACAGGTACTAAGATGCCTTTCAGAAAGTAGCATCTAAACGTTTTAAAGATTTGGGGCGCCTGGGTAGCTCAGTCGGTTAAGCGTCTGACTCTTGATTTCAGCTCAGGTCATGATATCAGGGTCGTGGAATCAAGCCCTATGATGGGCTCCACCTCTAAGAAGAGTCTGCTTGAGATTCTCTCCCTCTTCCTTTGCCCCTTCCCCTGCTCAAGTGCACACACTGTCTCTCTAAAATAAATAAATCTTTAAAAAAAATAAGCGTTTTGAAGATTTAATTGGTAATATCAAGATATATGTTCTTGTTTAGTTTGAAGATTTTATTAGAGCACATGGGTGAGTTGTGGGGGGAAGAGGAGAGTGAGAGAAAATCTCTAGCAGATTCCACACTGAACATGGAGCCTGACCTGGGGCTCCCCAAGTTGTATGTTTTTAGAACTAAAAGGTTTTATTTTTGAAATTGGCTTGAGGAGTTCTGATATAATTGGATAATTCAGTGCAAAGTCAATTAGTGTCTTTAATAAATAAGTGTTGGGCAGTGCTAGCAGTGCTATTATTTTATGGGAAAAGAGGCTTTCAGTATTTTTGAGAAGGGAATTAAAACAGAATGTCAACATAATGCAAGTGAACATTTCTGTTAGAAGTATAAAACTGTTACTTTTGGGTAAAGTTGGAATATAAATTGGTATGAGTTGGTAAATTATACTTCAAAGTGTGAACTTTAGTGATTTTATATATGCTATGTCATTTTATAAAAATATTTTAATCCTTGTCCTTTTCAGATGGAATTACCATGTGGATTGACAAACCTTGGTAACACTTGCTACATGAATGCTACAGTTCAATGTATTCGTTCTGTGCCTGAACTCAAAGATGCCCTTAAAAGGTAAGACAGAAGATAAATGTGAGTTCTTTTGGTGGGTAAGGGACACTCACATTTTGGTGAGTAGTGTTTTGTGTATAAATGTGTGTATAATTTTTTAGCAACTTTACTGAGATACTCCTTTATTGTATAGTTCATCCCTTTAAAGTATTCAGTTAAATGGTCTTTATTCAGCAGGTTGTACAACCATCACAACAGTCTAATTTTAGGATCTTTTCTTCCCCCCCCCACAAAGAAACCTTATAGTCACAGGCAATCATTTTATCATTCCCACCTCCAGCTTTAGGCAACCATTTCCCTACTTTCTGTCTTATAGATTTTCCTGTTCTGGACATTTCATATAAATGGAATCATAAAATGGGTGACTTTTTGTGACTGGATTCTTTGACTTAGCATAATATTTTCTGAGTTTATTCATGTTGTAGTATGTATCAGTACCTCATTCTTTTTTATGTCTGAATTAATAGCCCATTATTAATGAACATACTGCATTTTGTTGATCAGTTCATCTGTTAACATTTGATTCATTTCTAGTTTGCAGCTCCTTTGAGTAATGCTACCATGAACATTCAAGGACAAGTTTTTGTGCAGACCAGTTTTTTTCATTTCTTTTGGTTATGAGTGGCTTGCTTGACCACATAGTAACTATGTTAAACAACATTTTGAGGAACTGTCAAACTGCTAGGCACCATTTTACCGCCAATGTAAGGGAGTTCCAATTTCTCCACCTCCATGCAAATATTGTTATTGTATGTCTTTGATTACCCTTAGTAAAATCGTCTCTCATTTGTAGTTGTCATTTGCATTTACATCATGACTAGTGATGTTGAGCATCCTTTCATGTGCTTACTGGCATGTATATCTTTGGAGAGATGTCTGTTTAAATCCTTTGCCTGTGTTTTAAATGGTTCATCTTTTTATTATTCAGTTCTAAGTGTTCTTTATATATTCTGGATACAAGTCCTTTTTCAGATAGATAATTTATAAATTTTTCATTTTGTGAGTTGTCTTCACTTTTTTTTTTTTTTT